CTTGCCCTCATGGAGCTTGTGCTGTAGTGGGATTGTGGTGACCAGTGAGAGCGTGTCATTAATGACAGAGGAAATCAGTATAAAATGAGAAATTTGACTGGATGTGGTGGTGTATGCTACAGGAAGATCACAGACTTGAAGTCAGACCTGGCAAAAGTGAATGAGACTTTCCCTGTAACAAAATACAAAGCAATCGGAGGTATGGATTCAAAATTCAGAGTACTTACGTAGTATGGATGAAACCCTAGTTTTAATCCCTAGTATTGGGGGAAAATAAGAAAAAGGAAATGAGAGGTTTTGTTGATTAGTTAGTGTAAAAAATGGACAAGACTGCATGGAAAAGTGGAGAGGAGGAGAGACTCAGGGGAGAGATGGCAAAGATGTTTCTTAGGTTTGTATCCTGGAGAGATGGTATAATATCTATTGGGATGGTAACATTTAAGAAAGTAATTGGAGAGGTTTGGCATCATGGCTCAGGTTGTAAAGTGCCAGCAGAGTTCTAGTCTTCATCTTGGGCCAAAAAAAAAAAGAGAGACTAGAAGATTTAGTGGAGATATGAAGAGTTTAATCTCAAACTTGTTTGTAGTTGGACATACAAATGTAAAGTCCAAGGAACAGATCCATAGACAATTTGGGTGGCATGCTGGTGATTATTCAAGCCACGGTAGTGAAATATATTGTCCAATGAAATAGGAAAGGTACTGAGGACGCAGTATGTCCAAATTTAAGGTATAAAGATTCACCAGTGGACCTCTTTATTCAGGATGGTGGGGTGATTTTTGAAGATGCAGGTTATTCGTTGGAAGTCTGGAAGCTAATAATAATTAAGTTGAGTACCTTAAGCATGCATTGATGGTTAAACCATGCATGTCCTGAGCCAGGAAAGAAGACAGATCCAAACAAGATACTATCCTTCTTTGAAGGAGCACACAGTCAGGGGAGGTCATTGCTTCTCTCATTCAACTAGATGTCAGCAAAATTGCCTTTTGAATAAAAAATACTATGTCATGAATAATTTAGAAAACCGAACAACTTAGTTTCAAGCATTCTTAAGACCTGACGGAAGAACACCAGAAGTATTCGCCTTGTCAAAGAAAGGAGTAGGGAGGAATCATAGCTTTCTTCAGATATTTTAAAATGGCTTTCTTTTGAGAGATCCCAGAGTTACAAGAAAACATGAGTGGAAATAGGTTGGTTTATATATTGTATGATGTATCTGTCTATTGACCAATAGGAACTTACTGGTGAAGGGAAGACTGGAGTTGACTCTTTCCATTTTATGATAAGCTTCAGGAATACTTGGACTGTCAATGCTGAATGAGACTGTAGTCTCAATGATCTTTGAGGTCTCTCCAGGTAGCGTCCTGTAAACATCTCCTAGAGCAGTGGTTCTCATGCTTTTGAAGTCATGTACTCTTTTGAGAATTTAGTTAACAGTTAGGGACACTATCCCTGGAGCAAAAATAGGCAAGTCCGTACATAAACACAAATATTATTAAGACAAGACCCCCTGCCCTTAAGCCCCTGGGCTTCACGTTAGGTCCTCTTGTCTTCATGGATCTCTAATAGATGAGAGCAGAGCTATTGCTCATCCTGAAGTTATATACATTGAAGAAGAAAAAAAGGCCTCTTTGGGACTTAATTTAGAACCATGACTAAGGTTTGCTCTATATCTAATGCAATGCATCGCTGATTTTATTCTGTCAGCCTTCCTTTACAAGTGGCCCCAAGCAACTCACAGCTTCACAGATAGATGTATGTACATAATCATATGCACATATTTTATTTTTAAAATAATGATGTTGTTTGGTGTGACCACCTATAGTTACAGAGATCTGTTATTGTAACTAAGATCCCCTGGTAACAGAGTTTAGGGGAGTTCTTTCTGATTAGGGCTGTCTTACATATTTATTCTAGAAGAGTTCATGAGCTATTTCTGATACTTCGACTTTAATCATGCTTAATGAACTGAACTAAGCATAATTCTTGTTCTGTTTTTGTAACCTTGTGGATTTCTCCTAATGCTCAGTTTCATATGACTACACCATTCTTGAAATGCTAATACGCAAAATGCTAATTCAAGAAAGGACCACAAAAGTTAGATTTCATTTCAGAGAAGTGCATTCAGTATTCACAGGCCTTCCGGAAGAGCAAGGCTGTGAGAAGAATAATATTAGGTAGAAAATACTGGGCTTCTACCTTTGGCGAACACACAAATTTAAACATATAGGTTGCACACAAAATTTGGATAAACTGAGGTGGAATCCAACATTTCTTGCATGAATGCCTGTATAATGTGGCAATAGCTGTGAGAAAAGAAGAGCCCAGCATCTAAAACCCAACACAATGAAAATGCAATGAATCGGAATGCCTCACAGATCATAGCGGAATCAGAATTTCCAGCAAGGAAAATCTTTTCATGGTGAATTAAGTGGTGGATGAAGAAAAATGGTGATGAGAAAAGGTAGGCACAGATCACAAACACTGGGCTCAGGGCTCACTGCTGAAGATTTAAGAACCTTAGCTAAAGCTATGCAGAATAGAATGTGGAAAATTGAATTTACTAAACAATTAAGCATTGAATTAATCTACATCCTGCACAGTAGAAAAGTGGGGGAGGGTGCAGAGCAGGGCTGAATAAATCAGTGGAGCTCATTAAAAGATAGTGAATATATCAGGTCTGTCGTAGCATAAAGAAGGACAGTTTCCTGGATAACATGGAATCATTCTTGGGTTCTAAGTCACCTTTTTTTTTTTTGAGTCCTAGTCTTAATCAGATTAACACGCAGGCTTCTGATGAGGTTAGTCTGTTGCTCTGTATTTTAGCTTGTTATCACTAGCTTTTCTATTAATTACAAGTCAGATCACCAGTCAACAACAGTAGTGAGGGACAACATAAATAAAATAAGAGTGCCCAGGAGATGTCACTCGCAAGATCTCATGCATCCTGAAACTCCCACGGGTTCCTGCAGCCTCCCACATGCCTTGCCAGTCTTTTGTTCAATTACAGTTAATGCAATAGTTTGCCATTTTCTCCTTCTAATTATATTTTCAAGTGGGATTTGTAGCACATAGAAAAACATCCTTTTACATGTCGAGGCACCGGGGTTTTGTGCCTGGCATTGTCTGTCCCCTGGGTGCTGTACCATTCTTTCTGCAGAGCTCTGAATAAACAAGTCCCCCTTTTAGAGCTGCAGTTGTACAAACTGAAAATTTATGCATTAACTGTTTGCATTCTGAGCATGTGTTCCAGATTACGTCTTACAGCATTCTTCTGGTATGCTGCAGAATGCATGTTTGCAAAAAACACACAACAAACCGCTTCTTTCACAGTTCACATATCTCTCAATCACAGAATCAGCAGATCAATTAGCGCTGTTTTTGGGAATAAGCTTAATGGGCAAATCAGACCTACAAGGGGTGTGTCCTTGTGTGACTTTATTTCACTCTGGGTCTGGACTAAGCTTCTGGCCAACAGACTTAACGTAGGTGGAGGTGAACATCCTTTCCAGGAATAGTAAGTATCCCCCTTTGATTGGTAACGTGACAGGCTTTGTAAATGAGATCTTTACTTTATTCTCTCTCTGGGTATCTGAAACACATTTATTAAAATCTCTCCAGCCCTTTCTATTTTCCTAGGGGTGGGGAAAGTATGTACTTTTCAAGAGATGAGCAAAGAACACTTTAATTTTGCTAGGCAACCAAAGATGTTGGAAGGGTCAGTAAACTTTATTATTACACAGTCATGAACCCTGACTTTATATGCCTGAAATGATGCATACATATTTTATACACAAGATCATCTCACTTTCCCACTAATAATCTTCAAGACAAATATCACTTCTCAGCCAAGAGCCAGCTTTCTCTTCTGTATCATTCCTACTGTGCAATGCAGGATGACCAGTAACTCATGAGGCTGTTTCTGAAAGCTAGCACTATAAGCTAATTAAAGTCTTTTCTAGTGATAAAGAGAGATTTGGGAGAAGTATCACCATGATTGTTTTCCCTAAGAATTTAATTTACAGCCAATTTTTCCTATCTGAATGTTACTTTCAAATGTGCCCAGTGATAAGAGGCAACATCTGTTTTCCGTTCAGTAGTACAAGAAGACTCTGCATGGAGCTGAGTGTACACCATCCATGCGAATCTATTATTATTCTCATTTCTTTTTTGCCCTTGTGCCTGGTCCATTTGCCATGTCCCATCAGAAAAACAGTTGACACATACTAGCTACTATGGGCCTTGGGCTAATTGTGAGATCTTAAAAGCTCTGCCATGTTTATCTTCTAAGATGAAGTAGGGCCTCCATGAGTCTCTCTCAGTGTTAGAGACCACCACTCTTATATACATCCGCAGTAACAGCCTGTGGTATTAAACAGCCTGGTATTAAAGAAATATAGTTGGCAACACGTGGCAGCTTTTCTCCTCCTTCTTTGCCTAGAATGTTTTCATTTTCCTTGGTAATAAAGCATGCGATCACTTATAAAAATAACTACTAGTGAATATTACGCTGGCTTGCAAGCAGAAATCTGCAAGGTTTTAAACTTTTATTTATTTATTTATTTTTGTCTCAGTACTGAAGCTTGAACTCAGGACCTGGGTGCTGTCTTTAAAGTGATCCGCTCAAGACTAGTGCTCTACTAGTTAACCCACACACAGCTCAAGCTCAAAAAAAAAAAAAAAAACCCCAAACCATCTGGCTTTTTGGTGATTGATTGGAGCTGAGTCTCATGGGCTTTCCTGCCTGAGCTGACTTTGAACCAAGATCCTCAGATCTCAGCCTCCTGAGTAGCTAGGAGTACAGGAGGGAGCCATTAACACCCAGTTTAGCAAATTTGGAATTGGCTGGTTGCAGCCCTGAGTCAAGACCATGTTTGAAGGAGGATGGGAAAGATGGTATTATCTATTGTAGCCCTGCATCACTTTGTCATCTGACAGGATCATACCCATCCACTATTAACAACCAGTTCTTATTCAGGTTTTTGATTTGTGCCCCACAGCCCTCTTGGAACAGAGATCACGATGACACAGCGTCCACCCGTTCAGGAGGAACCCCTGGCCCTTCCAGTGGTGGCCACACATCGCACAGTGGGGATAACAGCAGTGAGCAAGGTAGGAGAGGTGTTTTTATTCTCTTTCGCTTCTTGTTTCATTTTCAAGAGTTGGAAAATCAGCAATGTCTAGTTAGTTTCTCTCTCTCTCTCTCTATATATATATAGTTTTTCCTGGAACGTAAATCCCATATAATTTGAGAATTTGTTCTTCTTGTTTAATTCCCAAACCCTCTTCGCCTGGGCCATTCCAGTTACCTAACTGCCTGACATTTGGCCACCTCCAGGAAACAAGTTCAGTGAATTGGTTGAGAACAAGTCTAAAAGAGTAGATTAGAAAGTTCAAATGTGTATCAACAGGATAGCACGAATACCTTGCTGTACAAATGGAAAGTATTATTACTACCTGCCCCTAGAAGCCCTTGAAGGGCACATGAAAAAAAAACTTCAGTAGGATCCACGTAAATGCTGTGAACAGATAATGGAAGGTGCATAGAAAGCGTTTGGAAACCCTATGCTGGGCTTCCCTTTCAATAAGGTTGAGGCCAATTTTTTTGGTCTTATTATTGGACTCTCTTAAGGACTTAATTCTTTGCAAAGCTAGAATAAATGTCATTAAGAAGACATGGGATTGAGCTGGGAAGGTGGATCAGTGGTAGAGCGCTTGCCTTGCATGCATGAGGCCCTGGGTTCGATTCCTCAGCACCACATAAGCAAAAAGAAAAAAGCCGGAAGTGGTGCTGTGGCTCAAGTGGTAGAGCGCTAGCCTTGAGCTGAAGAGCTGGGGACAGCACCCAGGCCCAGAGTTCAGGCCCCACGACCAGACCAAAAAAAAAAAAAAAAGAAGAAGACATGGGAGACATTGACTTAATTTTGTCTGGTACTCTGAGTACACATACCTGTGTGTGCCTGTTCATGGATTTGCATAGGAATTGAAGTTTAAACCTCAAGTTAGTCTTCAGGAAAAAGAAAAATAAAAGCAATTGAGTATCCAAATAGCTTGAACTGCTTTGGATGATGTTTTGTGTTCATTTAATGCACTTAAAGTTACAAAAAGAATTCTTTATCTGAATATAAAAAGACCACTTTAATGAAGCTGCCTCTGAGCCCACAGTAGGTACATACTTCAGAAATTTGATTTTGTGATCTTATTTTGTTAGAGTGCTCTTAAGGCAACAAAGGGATCTTGTAGTCTAACTGACTTGGGCTATTTATACCAATTAGAACTATGAAGTCTACAATGAATTTAGCATGATTACTTTGAAAACAAGAGCAGGGAAGGTTTTTCTTTCTTCTTCTTCTTCATCTTCTTCTGCTTAAGGCACATGTATGTTCTTTGCCCTGGGAATAACTTCTGCAAACATAATTTTAAGCATTGGAGACATTTTATTGTTCAAAGAAAAGTTGCTGACTTCATTACAAGTCTAAGCCTAGTAAAAACGGAGCCTGGAATGGTAAACGCGTCCAGAGCTGAGGCAGAAGCAGGTAACCTCTGACCCCTGACTTTTACTGGAGAATGATATGCAGCATAAATCCAAGGGGCCTTTTCTCTTTCAAGTGTGCATGTATGTGTTATGCCTTCACTGTTCACAGCACTGCAGCTAAGATGGTGTCAGCACTTTTGAAAGCCTGACTTACACTAGGAATTTTCAAAGAGTATAAGTGGAAACTTAAGTTATTTGCCCTGTAGCCCCAAATTGCTACACAGGCATACAACCTAACGTTTTGTTTGTTTCTCTTGGGTTTGTTTGCATTTTAAATGAGTATCATCTAAGACTCAGCGGGTAGTTTAGCTGGGACGTGAAGGCTTACCGGCTGCTGAAATGTACTTTGACTTAAGACTGCAAAGCATAAGTTTTCTCAAACATAATATGATAAGAAGGTTTCCAAGGGGCACATGCTCCGTGCTAATTCTTCCCTTCTGATAAGCCCTAACCAGGAATTAGAATCATATATACATAATTTTTCCTTTTTCTAAAGGTCTGTTTAATAATGAATTTGATTAAAACTGGGAGCTACATTACTAACTGGCAACTTAGAAGGTTCTTTATGTTTCTCTGTCTCTCTGTCTCCCTTGAATCTCTCTTGGTCTCTATCTTTGTCTCACTCTCTGCATCTATCTATCTATCTATCTATCTATCTATCTATCTATCTATCTATCTATCTATCTATCTATCTATCTATCTATCTATCCATCCATCCATCCATCCATCCATCCATCCATCCATCCATCCATCCATCCATCCATCCATCTATCTATCTATCTATCTATCTATCTATCTATCTATCTATCTATCTATCTATCCATCTATCTATCCATCTATCTGTCTATCTATCTATCTATCTATCTATCTATCTATCTATCTATCTATCTATCCATCCATCCATCTATCTATCCACTTCTAGCTTTTTTTTCTGGGGGTAAATTGGAGATAAAAGTATCACAGACTGCCCAGGCTACTTTGAACCATGATCCTTCTTCTGAGTAGCTAGGATTATAGACATGAGTCATCAGGTGCCTGGCTTATATTTTATATTTAAAACCATCACTTAGTTTTTTATTATAAAAATATTTTTTCCACATAAATTCTATCAGTTGAACCATTTTAAAACAATTCTGGTGTCAGATAAAGAAAATAAGATATGGGTAAGATTTGTGATTTGTTGGAGTTCCAAGTGCCAGACCGACATTTTTTGATTATATAGATAAGATTCTTCTCATCATACCCTCTTTCTCATTTCTCTACCAAAGAACTAAAGTCAATCACATCCCCTGTGATCAAGCAGGAAGCTTTTGTCCTGCCATTTGTTTCTCCTCTCCACCAGGTCTATACCAGAGGTGGCAAGATCCACTTTTAGTCTGCTTTGCCCTTCCTGGGTGGAGTTTCTTTGGCAGTGAGATTTATTCATGCTAAATGTAGATGGTGCCTGAAAAGTACGGCTGTGTCTACGTACACACCTCTCCATGTCAACCGTGGCTCTTCTGAGCCTTTTTTCTCATCCCTGGGACCTGTGGAGCTGGGTTTTTGTGCAGCCTTTGGATCAACTGTGCGCAGTGGCTTTCCTTGTCTGCTTTTCCTGGCAAGCAGTGATGGTGAAGCTGTGCCAGCATTTGGCCTGTCATACATGTCCTAAATAGTTATTTACACAGTTTGAGTCCATTTTAGCCAACTGGGTAAATAACAACCCTCTTCAAAAGATTTTTAAATCCATAAATATGTCTTTATACACTTCCAATAGACAGACATAACTCAATCTGTCAAGAACATATCCAAAGAGGTGTTTCTGCTGAAGACAGAGGGAAGCTTTCTCCACTGTATTATTTGTCCTGCATTTTTTCCCCTCATATCTTTCTAGTTGTTACCACTACTCTATGGCACCTGTGGTACCAAACATAAATAGTTAAAAAAGGAAGGAAGGAAGGAAGGAAGGAAGGAAGGAAGGAAGGAAGGAAGGAAGGAAGGAAGGAAGGAAGGGGAAGAAAGGAAGAAAGAAAAGAAAGAAAGAAAAAATGAATGAAAGCAAAAAGAAAAGAGGAAAGAGAGAGAGGAAAGAAAGTCTCCTAGGTCCCTAGGTTTGGGCTCCCTATTAAATAGTCTATCCTACTGTACATGAAGATATATAACAAGTTTATAATAGCAATCAAATTGGAATCTTAGTCTTTTTGACTTTTAAAGTAAATAAAATAAGTTATACAGGACCTTTTTATGTGTGTCTGTGATGGTATTGGGGCTTACACTCATGGCCTTTATACTCACTGTCTTTGAGAATTTTTACTCAAAATGTGAGCTACCACTTCAGCCTCAGCTCAACTTTTAGGTTCACTTTTGTCCTGGAAGTAAGAATCTCAAGCCAGGCATTGGTGGCTCATGCCTATAATCCTAACTACTCAGGAGGCTGAGATCCGAGGATCACAGTTCAAAGCCAGCCCAGGCAGGAAAGTCTGTGAGACTCTTATCTCCAATAGACTCTTATTTCCACTAGAAAACTGGAAGTGGCGCTGTGGCTCAAGTGGTAGAGTGCTTACCTTGAGCTGAAGAGCGCAGGTACAGTGCCCAAGCCCAGAGTTCAAGCCCCACGACCGACCAAAAAAAAAAAGAATCTCAAGGACTTTTCTGCCCAGACTGGCCCTGAACCCTAACTCTCAGATCTCAGCCTTCTGAGTGGCTAAGAATAGAGGCATGAGCCACTGGCTCCTGGCTTATCCAGGAAAATTTTAATGTTCTGATAGATCTCAAAAGACAGTAATAGCTCCTAGTTAGCACTCTAGCAATTCAGAGGATTTGAGATAGTTTTCCAAATTTGTAGCTATTGTGACCAATTAAATAGATTTAGGACACATTTTAAAATAAGCATGAAAAGTAAACATTAAACATGATCCTGGATATTCTTTTTTTTATTTTTATTATTTATTTATTTATTTATTTTTATCGGATCGTGGGGCCTGAACTCTGGGCCTGGGCACTGTCCCTCAGCTCTTCAGCTCAAGGCTAGCACTCTACCACTTGAGCCACAGCACCACTTCCAGCTTTTTTCTTTTTGCTTATGTGGTACTGAGGAATCGAACCCAGGGCCTCATGCATGCAAGGCAAGCGCTCTACCACTGAGCCACCTTCCCAGCCCGATCCTGGATATTCTTTAAAAATATACATAAAATAAATCCTAAAGACATTATTGCTCAGGAGTTATATCATATATCTGTGTTAATCACATTTTACATTGCTCTAACAAATATTTGAGAAAACAACTTCGAGGATGAAAGGTTCACTTTTAGTCCATTACTCCTCTTTCTTGCCCTGAGACTATGTATGGTGAGGCCAAACATCATGACGGGAACATCTGTTGGAGGGAAGGCTCTTATCATGGCAGACAGGAGGCAGAGAAAGAACAGGGGACAGAGACAAGATATACCCTTCAAGGGCGTACTCCCAGTGACCCACTTCCTCTGACTGAGCCCATTTGTCTACAAGTCCTTTGAGCTCTACATTTATGAGTGGGTTAATTCATTGGTGCAGTTGGAGGCTTCTTGATCCAATAGCAGCTCAAAACCCATAGCTGGCA